TGCGGGGACGTTGATTTCCTGGTCACACACCCAGATGGCAAGAGGTGCGCTCGCCCCAATCTGTCGTGATACGAGATGCCAAGGCTTATCAAGCTTGTTTCCTGTCATTTTCAGACTGAGGATGGGTCTAGGGATAGAAGAGCCTTATCTTGAATCTGGACTGGCCAAATGTTGATTCAAGATTGGCAGCGTTTGATAGTCCTACTTCTTTCGCCACTTTTGAAACTTATAGGATCAACGACGTCCATTACACTGCTCCTCACCGCTGCTCCGCCTGCCCGCCCCCGCTCCCCTCTTCGTCCGCTGCCTGACCGGCTCGCGCCCCTGCCTGTGCAGCCACCGCGGGCTGCTCGCGCGGCTGCACCAGCGCTTGACCGCCATCGGGTTCCTTATGGCGGACCTGCGCTCCTTCGACGACGACGATCAGGTCGGCCCCCAACCGAGTGACCGCTCTTCGCTCTTGTGCCCCATGACTCCTTGCAACCCTGTTCTGTCGGGGAGCTACACAAAGTATATTCTCGTGCGCACGTTGCCGACAAGTGGTCTTCGAGCCGACCGGAAAGGTGCAATTGCCTTTCGCGGCCCTGACAGGGACAGGCCTGTGAATATTGCTCTTCTGTCCCCGCCAGACACTTGTGGTTTGCGGTACAGACATTGTCGTACCTAGGGAGCCAGCTGTGGCACCTTGAAGACGGGACCTCTTGTGCTTCTTTGGCTGGTGCAGCCTTTTGCAGCAATGCTTTTCCGAGGGACGCTTCCCGATCCCTCCTCCTGGTAGCAGCTCTTCTTTGCTGTTGCCCTGCCCCGCTCTTCCTGACGCCCGTGCCTGCGGCCTGCAGGGCGGCGGCGCCCTGTGCCAGACGTACCTGGGCATGTGCCGCCTCCCCGGAACCGACGACCACCGCCGTATCGACATCAAGGTAGGGCAGCCCTCTGCTTCTTCGGCGTAGAGTCTCCAGCGCCTGTATGGCTTGTGCGCCTTTCCTGGCAGCCCGTTACAAAGCTCTGTGGTGGGTTTACTAGAGTGGCGACCCACTAATGATAGTGTGCCGTTCGAGGCGGTGGCGCCTGCAGTTGCTTGCCGCAAAGTCAGAGTACATGTGTGAAGAGGCTCAGCGCCAGGCATGATGCGTGATGTGTGGCAGGTGTACTCGGCGGCGGTGTACGCATGCGCGCTGGTGCACTTCACGGGCAACGAGGTGTTCAACCGCAAGGTGCGCTTCTTCGCGCTGCAGACCGGCTTCAAGCTCAGCGAGTACGGCCTCTTCCCCGTCACCAAGATTGGCAAGCGCAAGGTGAGCGCCCTGCCGCCATCAAAATGCTTTCTCGGAGCTACTCCGCTGGAGGGTACAGAATCCATCCTTGCAGATTCTGATTACCAGCGGACCAATTACCAGGTTTTGACCGCGTACAACTAGCTGGAAGTCTGGACAAAAGTATGAGTCGAGCGAACGCGCGTCGTGTCTCCGCTTCACCTCTGTCGCTGGCATTTCTGGTGGCCTTTCCAGACCTGACCCTGCCGTTCTGCCGCTGGCAGTTTGTGGATAAGACCTCTCTTCCGTGTGCCACCGAAAGGGACGTCTTCGCCCACCTCGGCCTCGAGTATCTGGAGCCGCATGAGCGGAATTGGTAGAATAGAAACAGGGGAGCGCATTGAGCAACTCGAACCTACGGAACTCGTTCCGAAGTAGAAACAGTTGCTGCTGTAGAATCTGATATAAGCCGTCTGTAGACAGAAAGACTGGTGCCACTCCCTCCACGAGACCTTGTTACACACGATGCACCGCCGCACAGTCACAGAGCTTAGAACGTAGCTACGATATAGGCGGCGGTAGAGCCCCCAATCGAGTTAGAAAGGGCAGAGTAGTCTGATCACTACATTTACATAGGCGCGGACCATGACATAGAAAGAGATCAATAGCATAATGAAGTTTGTGGTTGATGACGTTTATCTAGTGAGTAAGGTCGCAATTTTTGTTCAGCTGAGGCGACCCTGGGAACCGTAAGGGAGTCCCAAGGGACGTCCAAGAAGGACGTTGTACCAAAATGTAACCATTTAAGTTGACCCCGATATCCTAACCCGCACTGCAAAATGGCAAAATTGGCCCAATGAGTCTGTCGGACCGCCGGGCGGTCAGTCGATCTGAGCAGCTGCGGCAGTCTCAAGTTTGCCCTGGCGAGCTAGTGCCTGCAACCGTTTATTTAGTGTAGTGATTCGTAGTGCAAGTAAAACATTGCATGCCATGCTGGGCGGCACATGCATATAACTATACCGTATATATACGCTGATGATCAGACGGTCCATGATGGTATATACTGAGTGACTAAAATCTAGCCTCCACCGTGAACAGACGGTACGTCAGAGAGCTGTATACCCAAACGTATACATCTAGCTCTAGTGGCCTGCAGCAGCAGGCCGCCCGCGCTACGTACCATGCTTGTGCATCCGGTGCATGCGGGATATATAAATTTGCAATTCGAATCACCCTGATACGGTATACTCTTGATTAAGTATATATTAGAATGTGAAACCGGAATGCTTAGCCGGCCATGCATTTGCAACGTACATATATGTCAATTCATTCGCGATTATCATTATTATCGGATGACTCTGACGCACTGCGCTGTCCTATGTACATAAACGCAGCCCGCGGCGGCGCATAAGCCGGTACGGTTGACAAGCCTGCTCAGCCAGTGCGCATATGCATGTCTTTCAAGGTATCCAACTAGGGGCCAAAACTTCAGTGCAGGCCGGGCTGGTACTAGCTGCGAACCCTCCTGGCACGGAACTTCCGGCTCAAAGATCTAAGCCGGTACTCTTACTCTTACTAGGACATCCTGTTTAACTTTAAGCGGTGCCATTGAAAGAACATGCCTCACAGAACTCTGCGCTTGATTTCCTGCATGCAAGGACGCCCCAAATTGGTTGCGAATCGAAAGTGACGTGGCCTCTCCGTGAAATTCCGGACGGAGAGGTCAAGAAAGTCAGTGCCGCGTTTCAACATGTTCTACTCGAACTTCACCAGAGTCCGTCCAGACGCTATAGTGAATGAGCGGCAAGTGCTGGGTGACCCCGCTGGCCCGCACTTGACGAATTCGGACCCCGCTTGTCGAGCCTGCGACTACCAATCAAGAAGCAATTCGTGTCCCACCACGTTTGAGCAACCTTACGCGAACGCCTGACATAAGTATATCCCAGGACCGAACCCGATAAAGCAATTTTCTAGAACAAGTACCTTAAACAACTGCTAAGGGCAGAAACAAATGTCGTGCAGTAGTCACGTCAGAGTTCACCACTAGAGCTTCACGGTAACGTGCTGCCTATCAGCCCCGTAGATCTGCACGGAGACAGCAACCGATGTCAGCACTGACCTCGTGTGACAGTGAGGCAGTATAAAGGTACGAGCCGTGAAAAAGGCAATGGTGCTGTTCAAAAGCGCGGGGCTCGAGATAGACAAGCGCCTGTTCTTGAATCTTGTTGCGCCTCGAGGATTTGAAGGACCTGATCAACGACCTGTGCAATTGCGCGTCAATTAGACGACTGCAACTGAAAGACAAGCCCGCGAGCAAGAGCCACAGACTTCAAGATCACAACTCGGTCTCAGACCCGTTTCAATTCAATCCCATGAAATCAAGACATCCATAGCAAGATGAAACCCTTTCGATCCGAACTTTTGAGACAGCAGACTGTCTCGAAAGCTTAGGGCGGTCGTTTGCCGCCCATGCGCTCAGCCGCTGTCTGGCAACGGCGTCCAGCAGATTGCCCGCCACAAGGCCCAGCGAGCGCTCCTGCGGGAGCAGCGAGTCTGCACGAGAGGCGGGCGTCACCTGGAAGTTGGCGGGCGTGCCGGAGTGGATGTGATCGTACAGCAGCTTCTCCTCGGGCTGGGGGCTGCTCTTGGCGGCGTCCACCGCCTCGTCCACCTCGCGCTTGCTCTCCTTCTCGATCGCCTGCACCGCGCCAGGCACACGCAGACCCCGTCAAGGGCGGAAACGGAAAGGGTGGATGGGCAGCTTTGGTGAACACAGTCGAGGCACATGTGCCAGCTCACCATCCGCACCCGCGTCTCGTTGGATGACGAGTTTGAGAACACGCAAGCTGAGCTCCTCCACTGCGTCTCAATCATCAACGAAAATTAGCGTTGATGTGAGTTTCCTACAGCTCATAGGGCCGTCCCATGCACGTCGCTCCCTCCTTGCACCCGACTGAGATCATGTGTCGCGAGCCGTGTTGCCTGCTCGCCTGCGCACGCTCACCTTGAGGTCCGCAGCGGTGGCCAGCTCCAGGCTGAGGATGAGCTTGCGGATGCGCTCAATGGGGTCGCGCTCCTGCACACAGCCGCCAATAGCGTCACCACTATTCCCGGCTCTACCTGCTCACATCCTCCGATCGTTCTAATCCGTCCAGACTCTGCCTGCTGTGCCCTTTGTTTGAAGCAATTGTTGTTGTGGTGACAGCTGGCTCCGAGTTGGCAACAAAAGCTCAAAGGTCGCAGAAGGGACGCCTGGAGAGGCGCAAACCGCCTGCCGCTTTCCGGCTGACACGATCCCCTGACCCCCCGAAGCAGCGGCATGAGATGGACGCCTACCTGGCGGATGCCCGAGATCTCGTCGCGCGTGCGGTAGGTGCTGCCGGGGTCGGACATGGAGTGGCCGTGGTAGCGGTACGTGTCCATCTCCAGCATCTGCACCGCACGCGCACACCACCAAGCGCGGTCAGAAAGGCTTACATAGCGATAGAGGGGCTTTCTTGCTGTTCGGATGACAAACCAGTCCGAACGATCCAAGGGTATCCAGAAAAACTGTATGGAGACCCAGTGTCTAGACGTCAGCGGAGTCGTACATCGTGGTGTCAACCGAAGGTCGTCGACAAGTCGAAGGTCTGAGCGGCGAACGCTCCTTCTCGAAAGCAAAGGTATCCGTTCACCCCTCGCCTGTCACTCGCATCCTAATCACACTTGACGGCTTCTCCAACATGCCACGGAGATGCGCACGATAAGCGTCCTAAGATTCTGTGGCTCCGGGCTGCCCCGCCGTTTGGGCTCACCAGCGGCCCGTTTTGCAGCGCGTACTCCTTGCCGAACTTGAACGCCTGCTTCACCGCGAGCGCGTCCATGCCGTCCACCTTGATCCCGGGCACGTAGTCCCCGCGCGCGTAGTACGCGGGGCTCTTGGCGCTGCGCCACTCCGCGGTGCCCATGCCGTAGTGGTTGTTCTCGCACGTGAAGAGGCATGGCAGGTTCCACAGCGCCGCGATGTTGAGCGCCTCGAACAGCTGCCCCTGGTTCGCGGCGCCGTCACCGTACATCGCCACCGTCACGTTCTGCACGACACGAAAGATAGGCGTCAGAAAGACAGCGGCTGCGACTTCTGCGGAAAGGGGCAATTGCCAAATTTAGAAAAGACAAGTGAGGCACGTGGCACTTGTCGACCCTGTAAGAGAAAAGTGGCAGGTGCGATGTGCGAAACGTCGAATACCAGTCTCTGAGGTGTTTGCGTCTAGTCTTAGCTTTGGTTTCCAGCTAAAGCTCCGCGACTTCGCCTTTGCAGCCGGAGAACGCACCAGGTTGTACATGAGGGCCAGGCCAGTGACAAGCCTCGGCAGACCACCAAAGCTGTAGTCTTCACAGCAACTGGCGCTGAACGTCTTAACGCTTAATTGAATGGTCCGCATAGATGAGTTAGCAGTCTTCATTTAACACGAAGCAACCTCAAGTATGACACTTCTCCTACAAAGCAACTTGCGACTATGATTGCCTACTCGCTTCTCTCTCTGCACTCCCCATCTTGTGTGATTCGTATCCTCACCGGGAGCTTGTTGTACTTTTGGCCAAACGCAACGCCGACCCCAAGCGGCACCTGCGCTCCGACGATGCCGTTCCCTCCGTAGAAGTTGTGCTGCTTGTTGTACATGTGCATGCTGCCGCCCTTGCCCTGGCTGCACCCGTCGCGGTGGCCCATCAGCTCCGCCATCACCTGCGCCAGCCACGCACGCCGCTGAGAAGAAGCTTGGATCGGGCCAGTGGTGACCTCTTCAAGATGGACAGTCAGCTCGAAACGTGAGGATTGACAGGATAGCTCGAAGGAAACGCTGGTTCGTGATCCGCCATGCAACCCCTCTGAGTAGACAAAACATTAACTCCTCTAGCTTGGCAAAATCGTTCGAAAGTTCCACGGGTAACACGTCCTTCGTCTCCACTGCCGTCGTGCATGAAGCCTGCTGTCCTTCAAAGCTGTGCCAGAGGGCCCGTGCTGAGCGGAGGCTCACCTCCAGGACGGTCCCCCCCCGCCCCAGGTGCGTGCAGTGGTCCCGGTACGCCGTGATGATGGCATCGTCGTAGTTGAGCGCCGCCTCCATCCCCACGCAGACCTTCACACAAGCGAACGGGCCACACGTCAGCGACCAACTTCTGTTTCAAAGTCTGGCCGGCCGCTGGTAATACAGACGGAACCCCTGCTGTCCGCACTCGGTGACTGAAGTTACTGTCTCATTATCCTTGTTGGCTTGCAGCTCCGTGCGACTGCAGAGGACGGGCACGGCCAGAAGACTTGCCAACTCAACAAGCAGAAAAGTAGACCGTTTGGGGTAGAGGGCAGCGATCAATGCTGTCTCCTAAGCTCGCTCCTGAATTGACTGAGAAAACGGCGAGCAACTTTCGAAACAAAGTGTATCTTGCTCTGATCAACCATTGGCATGAAGCCACCAGTACAGAAGCCTTTGAATCATATTGGCAGAGCCTGCACAGAGGGGCAGCTAGACCGCGGGAGCAGGGCCGTACCGCTTCCTGGCCATCGTACAAGTGGCAGAAGCCGCGAATGAACTTGCTCTTGTACAGGCCGTCCGCAGCAATCTCCATGCGCCGCATCTTGTACATGTCCGTGAAGAAGCCCAGCAACTCCGCTGCAAGCACGCAACCACATTCATAAGAGCGGTAAAAGTACCAGTTTGCGAGCTCGAATTGACCACAAACAATCCCAGCCGTCGGTAATCCCGCCATCAGAAGTGCCGTCAAAAATGCATAGTAAACAGTAACACGGGGAGCACGATTGTGCTTGAGATGTATTCCAGGGCGCAGATGCTGGGCTTGGAGAACTTCTCGCCTACTTGATTCGTCTAAATACGCCATCCCAGCTGCTGAAGATCTTGTAGCACAGATGTTCAAACTCGTCAGACCTTTTCTGCTTAGATCCATATTAAAGGATTTCACAGATGCAATCCCAGCAGAATCTTTGAAGCAGGGGCAGGCAGTAGAGGGCGGCGAGCTGCTCACCTTTTGATGTCTCCACCTCTTGGGAGGGAGGGTCAATCTTGTGGGTCTTGAACGGCACTGGCACCGTTACAGTCAGCTTCTCATCGTCCGATGCCGCCGCTGCAAAGCCCCTCTGTAAAGGATTGTTGCGCAGTATAAACTGGATTGGCACTTGCGACAGAGGAACTCTTCAAAAAGGGCTATCATACGATTATGGCAATTATCAAGGACAAGCTCTCTTTCACAACCATCTCTACTTTTGGAAGATCAGCGCGTGGACTTCTGCGCACAGGAGGATCCCCAGGGGAGCGTCACTCAGCCGAGAGTCTGTCTCTATAGCAGACTAGCTGTGAGCGATACACAGACGCGGCCTGCAAACCAACTCCATTTCGAAATCGAGAAAATGTCAATGGTTGTGTGGGGGCTGTGCTCAAGTTTTGAGCGAGACAAGGCCAGTCCGGGGGCCCACTAGCTCCACACCGTCCTTGCGTCATACTATAAGTTCGTTGGCATATATGGCAGACCTAGGCGCTGCTAGCGATCAATCACTGCAGCATTGGAGCCTGCAGCATTCTGCTCAGGGCGCCGCAACACGCAACAAATGAGAGAAAAGGAGGGTTTTTCAGACCGCGACTGAACACAGGGTGATTTTAAACCCGACTGAGAGGCCAATTGACGACCTGCACAAGCCCATCTGACTCGAAGCTTCCGTGACATGGACGCCGCGTTGCGCTCTTCTACCGTTTTCTGATTGAATCTCTGAAGCTACCCGTTGTGTCTTTAAAAAATGAAGAAAGCATGGCGATCGCGGATCACAGCATGACTAAGTTCCAGATTAATTGCGAATGATGAATATTGCTCTTATATGTCTGACTGATACTGAAGAGTACGTAATTCAGATCAATCATACACCAATGAGGACTAGATCTTGAGTGACAGCTGCAGGAGGCAATTGCCCTTGGAGAGCAGTGCACTGATCAATTCGACATGCTCAAGCCCTTCAGATCCACCCAAATGTGTTAGCAATGATGAATCCACAATTGAACCCACACATTGGCCATTATGTTTGGAGCAGCAAACAAAGGAGAGTTGGTAGCATTGGCCTATTGTTGTTTAGGCACCCAGTCATTTGCCCTGGCCGCCCAGGGGCTCGCTTGTTGTACCCGCAGGCAGCTGCAGCGGCAGCACATCTGCTCTGCTTCTCACCTGCTGGGCGAGCGCGGCTGCAGCGGCCAGCGTTCGCTGCCGCAGGAAGGGCCCCATCCTGGCGGACACCAAGCGGAGGGCCATGGCTGCCCGTCGACTGGAGCACGGCCCGCACCCACAAGTCTTCCGTAAAACCTCCAACCGCTCTAGCTGCACTGCTCAGCGCCCGTTCGATCCGCAAGCTGACTTCAGCCCAGTGTGCTTTCGCGCTCTATCGATCAGGCTTCAGCCTCATGCAGGAGCTTCAGGCTGGCTTCAGGCTTCGCAGCCTGAAGAGCAAGGGTTTAAGATTAGGGTTTTTGTGGGGTTCGGACGGTCGGCGAATGGTAAGGGTTTGTGCTTTGGCACCATTATCGGATGAGTGCCCAAGAATCATGCAAAGTAAATCACATCATATGCCCGATGGCTCAATGTGGCGTAATTTGTTCGTAATTTTAACCATACA